AATAATCAGAAAAAAATTTTTTATTTGTATGTTATATTGCTGTTCAGCAACAATTTTTTATGAAATAAAGAGGGGGTCCGCTGGGCTCGTCATTTTTTATTTTTACGCAATCGTGTAAATGAGTATTGGTCACTATTTATACTGTTATTTGGATTTTTATTAATATTAAACTATGATCTACTAATGATGTTTATCTAAGTCTGCAAAGCAATTAATAACTTCTTTTGATTAATACGAAAGGGGCAATTAAGAAAATAGTGATTATTTTTACCAAGACAGCTCCAGTCACCCTATATACCTAAACGAGTATGTACTTCTTTGCATATCAGACATTTAGCTTCCGGATCTGTATATTTAAAAACATCTTGGTACCATGTATTCGATTTAGTATATGACAAGAAAGGGAAGCATTTATGTATTGTTTTACGGATTATACCTTTCTCTTCCGGAAACTTGGAAATCTTGATAATGCAATCTTGTGAGACATAATTACTCTCTTCAATTTGTAAGGTTTCGGAGTTTATCCAGAGATCAAATCCAGTTTTATTCTTATACCTTTTATATAACCTAGAACGAATTTTATCCGTCAAAATACCTGGAAATTCTATTAATTTAGCTTCTCATTCCAAATATTCAGGAGTCAATGTTTTATTAGCTTTTGCCTGTGTATTCATGTTCCCGTTTTATGTATATGACTGCACATCTTTCTAAATTAACAATAATTAACAAAAAAACAAATATGGCTCAGAAGACTTAAGCAAATTGTGCTAGTATAAGTTTAAAGTTCATGCTGTTACCTCAATTTCAATTCCACGCTGTTCACATTTAATATAGTAGGATCCAACTTCATATTTGCCTTTTATTCCATCTTCGTCATGATTTAACTTACATAATGGACATAATGATTCATCAGTAATTCCATAATAATCTTCGTTTTCACTACTACCATCTCGATATAAATTAGGATATTGTTTTAATGTTTTATTACAGAAATAGGTACAATCACGAGTTGGATTAATCTGTTTTCTAGGTAGGGTCTTTGTCTCGGGTAGCGACATGAATGACATACTCGCCTCAGTTTTCAAGTTTGAAGAGGCATCAGATGCTTGAGGTTTAACTGGCATACTAATCTTGGTTTCTGATAAAATCTTTGTTTTTGAGTCAGAAATTTGAGATTTAGTCACTAGTAAATTACATGCGTGTTCGCAATTGTTCACGCCAATAAATTTTTAAGACTTGGCAAGTTCATCTGTATAAACTTCTATTATATTTTGAACTTGTGTATCTGTTAGCCTAGAAATAGCATCAGCACTATATGTGATTAACCTGATTTTGTCTATACCTATTCCTTTAAACAAAGTATAAATGTTTTTAGCCTTTTGGGTCATCTTGCGTAAATACTCTCTCTTAATACCAAGTAGATATGGCACCATCTCATTGTAAATTTGTGTTCTTGCCATTTTATTGCTAATATTGTTTTCCAAACTAATGGTTTTGACCTTTTTTTCGTATTCCTCACTATAGTAATACCATTGTAATTTTTCTTTCCTACTAGTTTTTTCAGCCTTATTGAATAAATATGCTAGGTAAGGTGTAGTACCTATAGTTAAATCACCTACATATGTCATATTTTTCTTAAATAAATCAAAATTTTGTTTTCCAGATATAGAATACGAATTTTGTGGGATTGTAGCATCGTTGCTCCTAATGAATTCAAGTAATTCACTTATTAAACCTCGTTCTACTTTCTGATTATAGAGAATTTTTATTTTAGAAGAAATATTAGAGATAATATTCTGGGAAATTATAAATTTTTCTTGATCTCGAAGTTTTTTCTCCTTAATATTTTGAATTATCTTTTTACTAACTGTTTCTCTATACTCTGAATCTAGGAATTCATCAATTTTTTTGTCTTCTGGTGATTTGTCATAGTAATAGTGTTGCTCTACAACAGGCCCCGAATAAGAAAGTTTTACTTTGGGATTAGAATCTTCAGCTAGAAGCTAGCTCACGTCATTATTGGTAGAAGGTGGATGAGAGGATATTAATTCTTCTGAAGTGTCTTGTCTCCCTGAAGATATCTCTTGATCTCGAAGTTTCTTCTCTTTTCTAACCCTTTCATTAAATATTGAGTTGTGAAATACATCCACCTCCTTGTCCTCTGATGATTTAGCCTCTGTGCGAATAGGTAATGCGGGATATTGAGACGATGACTTCTGGTATACATCAGAATTTGAAGTGTTATTAGTTATATCAGATGCAGGAGTATCATTACATCATAAGCCTATCTGTTTAGGTAATTGCTCTGGAGAATCGATGGTTATTCCCTTTGATTTGATTTTCTCAAAATCACGTCTTAATTTTGCTACTTTAGTTTTAAGCTTAGCATTCTCGGAAACAGTATCTGTTCTACTTTTTTCTAACTCCTCAATTCTGCTCTTAAACTCTGCATCACGTCTACAATTCTCTTCAATGATCTGTCTCAGCCTTTTGTTTTCAGCCTCAATTTCGTCAAATTTTAGTAATTTCTTCTTAAGTTCAAGAATTTCAGCATTTTCAGTCTCAAGATCAATGATTCGTTGTTTCAATAAATCTATTTCGAATAGGTCTTTAGACTTATCCCTTTGATCTTGCATGTCTAATATTAATTTATATAACTTTATTGCAAATGTTTGGAAAAGGATTTTTACTGTGTACGTCTTGAAAAATGTTTTTATTATTCATTGCTTTTAATTTCAAATAAAAAATACATGTGCACGTTCACAATATTCATGCCGATCACTTTTGCCAAGAAAATTTTTTATTAATACATGTGAAAAATAAATACAAATATTCGGAACTAGCTCGTGATATATATTATTTTTTGATATACATCGATATCAATACATTAGAATAAATTTACAAATAAACATGCAAAAGTAAATGCGATTATGTATGCAAAATTAGCCACCAGGGCCAGCTTTATTAATATAAAAAAATAAAAATAAAAAAAAATACAAATTGAAATTCAAGATGTAAATACTTTTTTGAAATCTGTGCTTTTTTTTAGGTTTAATCTTCCAGTACTATGGGAAGAAGTACCTACATTACCCTCTTCCATCAATCTTTTTTGAAAACTATTCACAATATTCTGCAAATTTACAATAACCCATTCTGAAGTCATAGATTTTCTTTGTATTAGTAGCATTACATATATATTTCAGAAATTTACTTAGCATAGTTAAAAGAATACTCACTCGTAAAATTAATAAAGCATGAACAAATTCTTCCACTTCCTCAAATGATTTGTTATCCAAGGGTATTTTTGCTTTAACGACCAGTAGATAATATTTTATCCCACTTTATTTTATCTCAAGATACTTACCCGCAATATTGACATCAAATTCTATATAGTTTTTATGAAAGACCTCTTTTGTGTATTTTTTTACAAGCTCCTTAGAACTATCTAAACAGAACTGTACCAATTTATTATAATCATAGCGAATCTTATCTTTGTCAGAATCCCACTTTCCACTTTCAAAAAACACAATTTCTTTCCATTTTTGATGAAGATAAGCACAGAACATAAGATCTGGTTTATTACCTCTTGCTCCCTTTTTTTGCTGAACTTTGCAATTTTTACTAGCTATGCTCTGACGTTCAGATCTCGTAACCTCTACCTCATAATCCACGGGCAAATAAAACATGGCCATATCTATTAAATGATCTATAATCTCTACTAATGTATTTTCTGATCCTTCGGAAACCCTATTAAGGGCATTCAATTTGATTTCCTGCAAAAGAACATCAGTAATCCCCTTTGCTATACGTTCTTTAATGTGATCATATTCCACCCATTGGTCATGTGTCACTACATCTTTTGATCGCAATACAAATTTACGCAATTTTTGAATTTCATCTCTCTTTGATATAAAATCATTACATACATTCTCTACTACAGCATCTTTATTCAAGTTTCTTATATTAGCCTTTGTCCCCTGTTAATATTAATTTATATAAAGTGATAATCTTAGATACAGGATCCTATTAGAAAGCCTAATCAGACGGACTTTGATCTCAAAAATACAGACATTATATATACCACAATAGATTCATAATCACTTTCTGAAAAATTATATTTCTTTGAACTAAGATCAATTACCCCAATACACAACAGATCATCTTTTGATAATTTATCAACTTCTATATTGCTTAATTTTGTGAAAATGTAACCGTGTATTGGTGTATCTTTTTTCTAAAAGATTGAAGAAAAAATTAGTTTATGTAAAATTCAAAGAAACGGATAACCGATTACC